TCTGGGTGCACAATGTTCAGAGGGAAGAAGGCACTTGTCTCACCTATGCACAAAGGACTAGATGAGTAGCTTGTTAGCTCATCCAGGTAGGGCTTATCCCAAGTGCAAGTGTGCGTGTGTTTCAGTGGGGGTAGGGGACATTTAAATGGTATGATACATAGATTGTATGCATTTGCCAAAGTCATCAAATGGTACACTTAAAATTTATGCATTTCATTGTGTGAAAATTTTTACCTAAGAAAAGAAATGCAAACGAACATTGATCTCCAATGATATGCAGACTAAAGTGTTTCCAGGAAAGTATCTTCATGTCTGCAACTTATTTTGAAATGCATCAGAAAAGTAGGTGAGCAAATCAAAACCACAATAAGATACCATCTCACACCAGTTAGAATGGCAATGATTAAAAAGTCAGGAAAGAACAGGTGCTGGAGAGGATGCGGAGAAATAAGAACACTTTTGCACTGTTGGTGGGACTGTAAACTAGTTCAACCATTGTGGAAGACAGTGTGGCGATTCCTCAAGGATCTAGAACTAGAAATACCATTAGATCCAGTCATCCCATTACTGGGTATATACCCAAAGGATTATAAATCATGCTGCTATAAAGACACATGCACACGTATGTTTATTGCAGCACTGTTCAGAATCGCAAAGACTTGGAACTAACCCAAACGTCCATCAATGATAGACTGGATTAAGAAACTGTGGCACATATTCACCATGGAATACTATGCAGCTATAAAAAAGGATGAGTTCATGTCCTTTGTAGGGACATGGATGAAGCCGGAAACTATCATTCTGAGCAAACTATCACAAGGACAGAAAAACAAACACCACATGTTCTCTCTCATAGGTGGGAATTGAACAATGAGGACACATGGACACAAGGAGGGTAATATCACACACTGGGGCCCCTTGTGGGGTGAGGGGAGCGGGGAGGGATAGCATTAGGAGATATACCTAATGTAAATGACGAGTTAATGGGTGCAGCACACCAACATGGCACATGTATATATATGTAACAATCCTGCACATTGTGCACATGTACCCTAGAACTTAAAGTATAAAAATAAAAAAAATCAATTGGTTGTAAATGTGTGGGTTTATTTTTGGACTCTCTATTCTGTTCCACTGGTCAATGTGTCTGCTTTATGTCAGTACCATGCTGTTTTATTGCTATCACTTTGCAGTGTATTTTGAAGTCAGGTAATGTGATGTCACCAGTTTTAGTCTTTTTGCTCAAGATTGCTTTGGCTACTCTGGGTTTTTTGTGGTTTCATGTGAATTTTAGGACTGTTTTTCTATTTCTGTGAAAAATGTCATTGGAGTTTTGGTAGGGATTGCATTGAATCTATAGATCACGTTGGCTAGAATGAACATTTTAACAATATTAATTCTTCCAATCCACAAACACATTTCATATTGTTTTTTGGATCTTCTTCATCATTTTCATCAATGTTTCATAGTATTCAGAATACAGGTCTTTCATCTCTATAATTAAAATTATTCCTAAGTATTTTATTTTTTGGTAGCTATTGTAAATGGGATCGTTTTCTTGATTTCTTTTTTGGCTAGTTCCTCATTAGTCAAAATCACACAAAATCATACTGATTTTTGTATGCTGATTTTGTAGGTTGCAACTTTACTGAATTTGTTTATTAGTTCAAATGATTTTGTTGGTGGAGTCTTTATGGTTTTCTGTATATATCACCCTGTTGTCTATAAGCAGGAACAATTTAATCTCCTTCTTTCAAATTCAGATGTGTTTTTTTCTGGTCTAATTGCTCTTGTAGGACTTCCAGTACTATAGAGAGTAAAGCAGTAAAAGGAGACATCCTTGTCTTGCTTCTGATTTTAGAGGAAAATCTTTCAGTTTTTTAACATTGAATGTAGTGTTACTGGTGGGTTTGTCATATGTGACCTTTATTGTGTTCAGGTACATTCTTTCTATATCTAATTTGTTGAGAATTTTTATCATGAAAGGATGTTGAATTTTGTCAAATGATTTTTCTGCATCTATTGAGATGATCATATGGTTTTTGTCTTTCATTCTGTTAATGTGATATCACATTTATTTATTGATTTTCCCATGTTGATCTAGCCTTGTTTTCCAGGGATAAATCTCAGCTAGCCATTGTGTATAACCCTTTAATATGCTGTTTAATTCAATTAGCTAGGGTTTTCTGTTTGTTTGTTTGTTTGTTTGTTTTTTTGAGACAGGGTATCACTTTGTCACCTAGGCTGGAGTGCCTCTCACTGCAGCTTCAACCTCCTGACTCAAGCAATCCTCCCACCTCAGCCCTCCAAGTAGCTGGAACTACAGGTGCATGCCACCATGCCTGGCTAATTTTTTGTATTTTTTGCAAAGACAGGGTTTCGCGGTGTTACCCAGGCTGGTCTCGAAATCCTGAGCTCAAGTAATCTGCCCATCTTGGCCTCTCAATTTGCTAGTATTTTATTGAGGATTCTTGCATTTATGTTCATCTGAGACATTGGCATGTAATTTTCCATTTTTGATATCAGGGTAAGGCTGGCCTTATAAATTGAGTTTGAAACTGCTCCCTCCTCTTCAATTTTTTGGAAGAATTAAGAAAAATTGTCCTTCAAAAATGAAGAGATAAATGCTTTCCCAAACAAAAGCTAAGCAAGTTCATTACCACTCAACCTCTTTTTCATGTGTGTAAGATTAATCTATGTCATAGATTCATTTCAATTACCTAGTTATTTATATATTTTGTGCCTATACAATCATGCATTACTTAACAATGGGATACATTCTGAAAAATGTGTCATTAGGCAATTTTGTCATTGTGAGAACATCATAGTATACTTACACAAGCCTAAATAGTATAGCACACTACACATCTAGGCTGTATGGTATAGCCTATTGCTCCTAGGCTACAAACCTGTACAGCATGTTACTATACTGAGTACTATAGAAAATTGCAACACAATAGTAAGTATGCATGTATCTAAACATATCTAATCATAGAAAAACATTTCTAAACAGTAAGAATATGGCTGGGGGCAGGTGGTGCACACCTGTAATCGCAGCACTTTGGAAGCCTGAGGAGGGCAGATCACTTAAGTTCAGGAGTTCGAGAACAGCCTGGGCAACATGACAAAAACCTCTCTCTACAAATAAATGCAGAAATTAGCCAGGCATGGTGTCACACATCTGTAGTCCCAGCTACTCAGGAGGCTGAGGTGGGAGGATAGCTTGAGCCCAGGAGGTCGACATTACAGTGAGCCAAGATCATGCCACTGCACTCCAACCTGGGCAACAGAATGAGACCCTGTCTCAAAATATATTTATATATGGTATAAAAGATAAAAAATGGCACATCTATATAGAGCACTTACCATAAATGAAGCTTATAGGACTAGAAGTTGTTCTGAGCATGTCAGTGAGTAAATGGTGAGTGAATGTGAAGGCCTAGAACATTACCATACACTACTGTAGACTTTATAAACACTGTACACTTAGACTATACTACAGTTATTTTTGAAATGTTCTTGCTTTTATAACAAATTAACCTTAGCTTACTGTGAATGTTTGTAAAGCTTACTTGATAAACTTTTTTAACTTTTGAACTCTTTTGTATTAACACAGCTTAAAACACAAGCTCATTGTACAAGTGTACAAAATATTTTCTTTCTTTATATTCTCACTCTGTAAGCTTTTTTATATTTAAAATTGTTTTCACTTTTTAAACTGCTTGTTAAAAACTAAGACACAAACACATGTATCAGCCTATGCCTATACAGAGTCAGTATCAATATCACGGTCTTCTACCTCCATATTTTGTCTCACTGGGAGGTCTTCAGGGGTAATAACACAAAAGAAGCTGTCATCTCCTATGATAACAATGCCTTCTTCTGGAATATCTCCAGAAGGACTTGCCTGAGGCTGTTTTACAGTTAACTTTTTCTATAAGTAGAATGAATACACTCTAAAATAACAACGAATTATCTCAGAATAGATATGCTTATTCTGACCTTCCAAGTTTGACTTGCATAACATTGTTGTCATCTATACTCATCTATATCACCCTAAGTTCATATTTTTTGATATGCACCTTGCAGGATGGCCTCAGCACTATGTGGATTGAGTAATTGGATTTGAACAAATGTATTAAATATCTCCATAGCTGGGAAACATGGGGACAATTTAACATTGGTTTCTGAAAACATTCACATATTTTGGAATACCAGGTTGCTCAAAACTCAGTTCTGATATGTTGTGTCTTTGATTTTTATCCCCAGTGGCAGTTTTTTAATTGGCCTTTTACCTGGATATAAAATAATAGTGCCTACCACCACCATCAAATTGACCTGGTGCTCTAATGCCAGTTGTACATGAAACACTTGCTGGCATGTCTTCATTGGCACTATAAAATGTGGCTACAAAGATAGGTTCTCAGAGTAAGAAGTCTACGTCAGTTAGGATTAACTTTGCCCCAGAACTCTGTTATAAGGCTCTCTCAAATGTGACTGTATGAATCTGGATGGGATGATGGACTCAGTTCTATCTGCTCAATGCCATTGTGCAGAGAAGCACCCTAATGTATAAGCTTTTTGTTCCCACCAAAATTCATATTAAGGCTTGGCCCCAGTGTGGCAATGTTGGCAAGTGGGACCTTTAAGAGGTGGGGCCTAACGGGAGGTGTATCATACTTTATTTTTTGTAGGGAACAAGCCATATTTAAACAATAGCAGGTAGACTTACTTTTTAAGTAAGTAATAGAAAATAAAGTATGATACATTTTTCTATGAAACTTTCTTTTCTGGCTCGTTCTGTTTCACATTTTATTTAAAATGATCAAAAAAAAGAGGATGTTTAGGTCATTTACTGAGTCAAACTTCCCTGATTCAAGCTTTCTCATTATAGCAGTTACAGTCTGTGAACTCCTAAGCACTAGTCAATAAAAGTCTATGAAAGTACAAAGCTTTATTATTCATTGTGAACTCCATTAAAAACTCAACCAGACAACAAGATGGCGCCGAAAGCGAAGAAGGAAGCTCCTGCCCCTCCTAAAGCCGAAGCCAAAGCGAAGGCTTTAAAGGCCAAGAAGGCAGTGTTGAAAGGTGTCCACAGCCACAAAAAAAAGAAGATCCGCACGTCACCCACCTTCCGGCGGCCCAAGACACTGCGACTCCCGAGGCAGCCCAAATATCCTCGGAAGAGCGCCCCCAGGAGAAACAAGCTTGACCACTATGCTATCATCAAGTTTCCGCTGACCACTGAGTCTGCCATGAAGAAGATAGAAGACAACAACACACTTGTGTTCATTGTAGATGTTAAAGCCAACAAGCACCAGATTAAACAGGCTGTGAAGAAGCTCTATGACATTGATGTGGCCAAGGTAAACACCCTGATTCGGCCTGATGGAGAGAAAAAGGCGTATGTTCGACTGGCTCCTGATTATGACGCTTTGGATGTTGCCAACAAAATTGGGATCATCTAAACTGAGTCCAGCTGCCTAATTCTAAATATATATATATATATCTTTTCAACATTTAA